CCCCAACCAATTATGAGCAGCAAAGGGTTCAGTTCACGCCTCAGACCAAATCGTCTCTCTGACAGATATCTCAGAACTTAAGTCCTCAAAGTGGAGAACAGCTCAGGGCAAAACCTCCCCGGCTCTACACGACAGATTCCCCCCAAGTCAGTAAGTGCCAAAATTATTACAACTACTTGCCAGTCGCTTATTACGTTTCTCAGACAAGTTCTGATGTAAATTCCTATTCTATTCCAATAAAAACAACCAAGAAACTAGCCCCACCCCAAGAAAAAAAAGAAACAAAATAAACAAATCATTTTTTTAAAAGCAGAAAAAGCAAACAAGTAAGAAAAGATGCAAAACAAATAAAAAAATAGCAAACTAAAACAATAAACAGAAACAGAAATAAACGGTAGAATAAACATACAAAAAAGAAGAATAAGCGAACAAACAAGAAAAGAAACAAAACTAATAAAAGCAAACTAAACAAAAGAAAGAAACTTTAACAAACAACAGCAACAACAACAACAAAAGCAACAACAACAACAACAACAACAACAACAACAACACCACAACAACAACAACAAAAACAACAACAGAAGAATACACCAACAGACAAGAAAAGAAGCAAAATGAATAAATTGTTTACAATAACAAACAGCAAAACGAATAAATTGTTTACAATAACAAACAGCAAAACAAACAGTAACTACAATGAAACATCAGGAAAAAGAATTACAGCTTTCGAAAACATTAATAATACATCTTCAGGTCCCTTTTCAGACGACATGCGTTTCTCACCCCCAGGCAGGTACATCGGAATTTCAGCTCTCGGTATTATATGAAAAGGGACTTTTCGACATCGGCAAGAGCCGATATTGTTGTGGGAGAACTCTGCTCACAACTATGTGGTGGAGAGTGACGAGTGAGGAGAATGCACGTGCGCGCATTTTTCTGACACAAGGGGCGTAAGCCGAGCGTTAAATTTCACAGCAGGTTAAACGCCCTGTGAGATACAAATAGTTCAGAAAGAGGGCAGGTTTGCGGAGTGGCTGGAGGGTGTCCATGGCAAGTTTTGCTAAAAGAAAAGTTTGGTCCCACTTCTTGTCTTTCACTCTGTTGTGTCTGTCTGTCTTATTCTTTCCATGTACTGAAATAAATGGCTGCTCTTGTGTCGATGTGCTTCTCTTTGTTCAAACATACAAATCGCCAGCGTCCTTTTAAAGCGTCTAAATCAGTTTCTCGGGGTTTCCAAAGCCGTTATTCAAATAAGGACATCGATGGACACCTTGCAATGTCGTTTTGTTTCTTTTCCGCGCGTTTCCTTCTTATTTTTTAACTGAAAAATAATGGAAAAGTTTGTTTAAA